GAGCTCTCGATTTTTTTTTTTTATATAAGAAGGAAAATAAGAGAGAATGAAAACAAAACGTGGGTTGCCTCCCACGAAGCGCTCGGTTTATAGTCGTGAGCTCGACTTTCCCATTCGTTCATCGATCAATCGGGCATAGCTCGACGAGCCCCTCCTTTCTCATTTTCGGACTCGTCACCGAACACATTTGCCCACTTACTTCTCGGAGACACCGGAGGCTTCTTCTTCCATCCATCCTCCCTCTCAAATCTCATTCTGATCTTCGTGAATTTCCACACTCCGGTGCTCGCATCATCCTTCGAGCTCGGTGGGTTATCTTCCGGTTTTGTCTCCTTACCCTTGGGCTTAATTTTTGACCCCTTCTTTCTCAGTTTCAAACCGCTTCCCTTTCCAACATCCTTTTTTAACTCCAACACATCATTTTTACCTACAAAAACATTTCCATTAGAGAATTTAGAATTAGGGTTAGGATGTACCTCATTGTCGAAGTCCTCCACAAACGAGCATTGGCCAACTTTGGGTGGAGCGTCCCGGGCATTGTTCATCGTGAAAGTTGCCATTTCTCCATGAGCCGAGAGAGTGACTCGCCCCTCCTTGACGTCGATAATGGTGTTGGTCGTCGCCCAAGCAAGATAGTATGCTCCTTCCCAGTATTCGGGACATCTCCAACATCAAGGACTACGAAATCGACCGGAACGACAATTGAACCCACCTTGACCAACACATCTTCAATTATGCCCTTTGGCTCCTGTAAAGTGCGGTATGCCAATTGGAGGCTCATTCGAGTCGGTTTGAGCCCTTGTAAACCCAATTGCTTATAAATCGAGTAGGGCATGAGGTTTATTCTGGCTCCCAAGTCTAGCATCCCGGTTGTAACCTTCTCATTCCCGAACGTTATCGTCATGACAAAGGCTCCCGGGTCACATTCTTTCCGAGGTATGGTAGTCGATGCTACCTCGGAAATCATCACCTTCTCATTATCCACGAACCTCCTCTTCTTAGATGCTAGGTCCTTAAAGAATTGAACATACGCCGGCACGTTTTTGATAACGTCTAGTAGTGGGACGTTCACGTTCACCTTCGAGAGCATGTCAAAAAGATCTTGAAATTGACGCTCCTTCTTTGTATCTTTCAAACGGCTCGGGAATGGGACCGGTAGTCGGTAGGGTGTATTTGTTTTGTGCAAGGCCTCACGGGTATCTTTCTTCGAACTCTCCTCCTCAATTTTCCCATCTACTACGGCTTTCCCTTTCACAACATCAACCTCATCACCTGACTCTTCATCATCCTCATCTACCACAACTTCAACAACCTCATATTCCTCGGGTTCTTCAACACGATTATCAACTGTCTTACCACTTCTCAACACCATAATAGCATTCAAGTGCTCGGGTTGGCTCGGAAGCTTGTCTTTCGTTTTGCTCCTTTGAATTTCCTCTATGGAACTCCCGAGTTACCCCACTTGATTCTCGAGGCATTTAAGAGAGGCATGAATCGATGGCACTCACTTGATGGTATCGTGAAATGTGGAGACGGTGGAGGCCAATGATTGAAGGCACTTCTCTAAGCTTTCGATCCGAGTCTCCGAGGATTCTCCGTTAGTATTCCTCTCGGGCTCGGGTGGAGGTGGCAAAGGTTGCCTCGGAATGAAACCTCCACGCCCTTGTGGATATCCTTGAAACTCAGGCCTCGGTTGATAGCCTTGGAATTCGGGTCTCGGTTGGAACGGTGGTCGGTTGTTCGGTGGAGCATATTGTTGAGGTTGAGAATAG